GTCTCAATCAAGTCGGAGGTCAATGTTTAAATCAACCAAACCAATAACAATCTCAATTGCATGGCACAATCTGCAAAATTTCTTTTACATAAAACATAAAAAATTTGACTAACAAATATATCATATGCCAATATATAATTCATAATTTACAGTTGGTGTCATCAAAATCAGCAATAAAAAACAGAAGCTACATTAATTTTGGAAGCTATTGTTTACGTTTATTTAATTTAATTGTTCACGCGACAGGTTCAACATACAGTAGACGGTTTGGAGAACCCATTACATCCACGACAATATCTTTTGTGGATAGTTCTGTAAGTCTTGCTTTGACTTCTTCTGGTGTTCTTGAAGATTTTTCTTCCAGGACGACAGCAGCGGCGCCTGAAATAGAACAGTCAATTGGCGGTGATTAGTTTATTTCAATTACGTAACCTGATATATATCAGTATTTCTACAAACCATGTACCATACATTGACAACATTTACGAGTATGCCAAGAAATGCGCATGCGCATGCACATACAGACAATTTTCAATTATGCCGATATATGTTAGAGAGTCTTCCTAGGCTGAAAAGTTACATTACATATGTTCGACTGTGGCTGAACCTAAACATCCACCGTTCATAGCACAATGCGATGCAATATTCAAGTATCTTACCTGCAACATGGGGTGTCGCCATTGAAGTTCCAGACATCGTTGCTTCGTCGTCATCTGACAGGTGACCAGCACTTACAATATCAACACCAGGTGCAAATATATCAACACAGGTACCATAGTTAGAGAAATAAGCTCTGACGTCATTGTTGTCAGTTGCTCCCGCTGTATAAGTCTGTAAATGAATAATAACAAGTTTTTATTTGGCGCATGCGTTAACCATAGGGTAAGCATGGATATGTACAGTTATAATAAATCAATCTTATATAAGACAAAATCTCTTACATAACAACATTATATTGCTTGCAACGATGGATTGGACAGCTTTTGTAACATGTTTCATAACATCGTGTACTTATGAACAAAAGACGGCTGTTGTCGGTTAAAATTACATATATAACCCTTCATGTCTCAGACATGGATTTGTGGTTTGAGGTTCATATTCATTTTGGTGTGGCGGATGTAGATAATTGCTTACAAGTGGTTAATCTGACTACTTACAATGACCAAAGGAAAGCATTGCGCTATCTAGTGGCATACATTACGAAAAGTGGAATCTTATCAGTCAGTTAAAAAGTTGTCGCTCAAAAATGGGGGAAATTTGTTCGTAAATGAGCTTATATATAGTATTCGTTCCATTGCATATTGTGATGTTATACTTACGTCATGGAACCAATGTACACAAATCACTATCAGTGAACTAATGACGATTCGACACAGACACATTTCTATAATTAAAATGCTATGTAGACATTAGCTACATATGCTATTATTGAAACGTCGCGTTCTGATTGATCGATGTGCTTGCTCATCCTTGCCCCGTTATCACACAATAATGACCAGTTCGTCGTTCTGCGTTCCTTAATCATTCATAAACACTGATGGCATGCATGTTATTGCCATTGCCATTGGTAAAATGATAAATGCTAGCATTACTTACATCTACTGCACCAGCTGGTGATCTAAGACATGCATCGTTGTCATCATTACCAGCACCAGCGACTACGGTGACACCTCCAGAGGTTAGTCTAGCTACTGCATCATCTACAGCCTGACTGCGAGGGTACGCTAATGACATGGATACTACAGCTGGTCTTTCGCCCTCAGCGAGTACCCAGTCCATACCTACAGAAAAATCATTACCAAAGATGATAATTAAAACAAAATATTTAATGTAAAGTGGCGTAGTTTGTGACGTTGGAGATTCGACTTACCCCAATTAAGCTAGTCGAACTGTTTATGTCAAGCTATGTAAGCTATTGGGTGATGTCAGTGTTAGGAAAGATGCTGAATTACTCGAGTTATGAAAACTTCGAGTTACAAAAATGAACACACCCATATTTTTAAAAAAACACGCTCACTTTTGCGAAACCACGCCCTAATTGTAACTAATTAACATTTGACCGAACTCCGAGTTACGGGCTTCATAAGTTAAACAAAACAAAAAATATATGTTGCTCGTAACTCGAAGTTCTTTTAACTGTTAATCAAAGTTCGAGTTACTAAATGTGGACGTTAAACAACATTAGCAATTTATGTTGCCCGTAACTCGAAGTATGTTTTCGTAACTCCATGTTCGTAACTCGAACAAGTCAACATCTCTTGTTTGAACGATGTTAGAGTGGGATGTTTTGTGTTAATATGTTGATAATGTGCATGTACGTTTTATTATCTAAGCCTGAGAAATGGGATTATGAAAATTATATAAAAAATCGTAGTATTTAAAAATATTTAGAAATCTACCTGGAATCCTCTTTATTGATTCAATAGCTGTACTCACCTGCGATAACCCAGTCTGTTGGTCCAGCACCAAGACAGTTGACAACACGGCTGCCGTAAACATTGGTCAATTTTGCGACACCGTACTCGGTACCTGATGTTGTACCTGCGCAATGAGTGCCATGGCCATGACAGTCATCAGACTGTAAAAGAAATGTCAAGATACGGTATTGATTTTCAGGGGATGATGTAATGAAATATTGCTTAGGAATGATCATTTCACAAGATAAATACCGTCATTGAAAACGTCATTTAAAATGTAATCACCACAAAGTCATCATCAACAGCGTCATAACCGTACTCTGCACGACCACCAAAGTCATTGTGTGTTTTTCGTATTCCAGTGTCCAGCACATAAACTGCTACGCCCTCACCGTTATCTGTGAGAGAGAAACTCCATATTTGCAAGGAATGAACACACTGATGTGTCCCCGGGGTCTCTATTTCCAAAATAATTTACCACATGAAACGATTGGCTTAAAATTGCGTCATATTTACATGAATTCATAATTTGAGACATCAAAACTACAATTCTGTACTAACGGTATAGAATTAATGTGAGTGATTTCCAAAGAAGTTTTCCATTGCAATTTCGTATATTTGCTTTTGAATTTGCATGGATTTGCAAATTGTGGCTTAAATCATGAATGAAACTGAAGGACTTCAAATTCGCCAAGCTGAGAAACAGATTTGAGACAATTATATGAAAGCTCATATATTGTGTATCATCAAAACGTGCCTATTATTATTATTTTGTAATTTCGTATAGAAACAACTCGATAGTTAAGACTGTAAGGCACTTCCAAAAACTAAGTTACGATATATGATTAGATATTTAATTGGTTAACGGTTCTAAAACTAGTTCGTACTTTCGTTTTGTTTTTCATGGATATCCTTGAACATCGAGTGTGTCATAGACATTGCGTTTATTACTCACATTTGGGATTATATTGATCATCAAGTCCAGTCCTAGCGTCAATTCTGTCCAGTCCCCAACTAGCTACTTCCGTAATCCCGCCCATAGCAATCTTTTCTACATACTTAACTGCGTCCAAGTTCATCACCTAAATAAAATATCAAACACATACACACAATATGTTGCTGTAGCCATGGCATCCAATAATGGATATTCAAAACTTGAGGTACCGTAGATTGGATAACGTTACTTGTTGAGTTGCATATGGCATTGACTTATGACAAATTGCAGCCAGAATTGCAGCCAGTTGTCTATATTGTATGAGAGTTGAACTACAGCTAAACTACTGCCATTTCCTGGGAAAGGTATTCTGGGGAATGTCGCTCGTACGTCAACCCTCTTTTGAGAACTGTAGTCAACAAAGATAATTAATTGGCAGCAAAACATGTAATGTATGTATCAACAAAGTAGTTATTGTTGCGCAATTCGATAAGACGTTTAATACAATTTGCAAATTACCTTTTCTACAGCATGTTTACTCATCGTCGCTGAAAATCCAGAAAATACATGTGAGAATCTTTTCCTTATTTCAATGTCATAATTCCTCTGCAGACTGTCCACAAGTACGTCACGAGCAGCGGAGTGATATCTGTCCTTTAAATAAGACAATCAAAAATGGAACAAATGATTTTCTGTGTTGAATTTTTAACGTAATTAAAAAAAATCGCAAATGAAATTATATATCTACATTTTAGGATAGAATGACGTATTCAAACGCTGCTGTATTAAGTCAATATATTCTGGAAATGCTAACTGCCTAATTGTTATGCATGAATAAGCTAAAGTTAAACCTCCGTGTATTATATAGTCATATACTATATATTAGTATGTGAAAAAACAAACCCAGTTATGTCACGTCATATGCACACGCGGCCTGGGCGTGAATATCCTTATACGTACACGTGATCAGCGAGTCAATATTCGTAGACGTACGTGCATGTCAATAACCCAACATATACACGTGCCCATATTAACATTACATGTTTAGACCCTTTATATATGTGTCATTAGTGCTCCACCTCACGGTATTCTACATGTTACAGGTATAGAAAACTTTTGAAAAAAAACACCAGTTCGCCATGTGATAACGTGTCAATAATTACATACATACACGTGGTCAACAGCTTACCTTGAGAACCACGATATATTGATGTGGTACGACGACCCCTATGTGAGGGTTATTAAGACTAGCAGTATACACCTGTACTGCAAACAGGACCAGAACTAGGGCCAATGACTGGCGCATTTTGCCTGAAAGTGAAACACACGACAATTTGAAATAATAATCCTGTATCATATATTTACTTATTGGTATGCTGAAGTGCGCATGGTTATATAATGTTGGTAGTGATGACATGTGTCACTGCAGATTGTTAATTGACAGAAAAATAAAATGATTTTTCATTCTATTTACAATTTACTATTCATAGTATGTTCGCTGTTCGCTGCCCTTTGCACATTTTAGCACGTGGCATATTCAATATGGCAGCCTTCTGCATAAAAGTCTGGATATACTGCTTAAACTTCGCTTATTAACCATGTAAATTCATTTCAATGTCACCAAAAATGAGACACATTCGTCTCTGCGGAAACCTCCACTTGGTACAAAATATAACTGCCATACATTGTTATTCGTAAATTAATACCGCGGCCATTCACCGATCATAGGAGCGAAATCGACGCAAAATGTCTAGACTAATATGAAGAAATGCGAATATCCCACAAAATAACAGGAAGATAGGTAACCAGTCTAGATATCACCCTGACCCATAAACTGATCCACGCCATTTACGAAGTCGCGGTATTGTAAATTCATCTAGGAAACAGAATACATAGCAGTATTGTTGCAACTAATCTTGGTACGCTATATGCTTTGAAAATGATAGAAGGTGCGCAAATTGAATACGAATCATTTGTGTGCGGTACACAGTTGGGAAAGCCGAGTCGTAAGAACTGACCACAACTGAGCGTTGATTGCAACTGAAAAGCGTCGGGGCGTGTACAGTCTGGAGCGAAGTGGCGCAATCAGCCATTCACACAGAGCAGAATATCCAACAAAACAATCCACATTAACGAGTAGAGGGCTACTATATTTATGCAATATCATGCTACATACCTTCTTAGACGTAAAGTGACCTTAGCATGCGTGCATGGCGGCTATATAATCATCATATCTTCTTATCTAATGTTATCCGAGCAAATAAAGACACCTGTATATTCACAATTGTAATCACTAAACATCTGTTATTATTAATTCAATTTCTCACCTGACTACCTGTAAACCTAGCATTTGTATCTTGGGATAAATAAAGAATGTTGGTATTTATTATAGTCTAGAAGCTAAACTGTGAAAAATGTCATATATTAAATATGTTGATTATTTGTCTGTTTTTAAAATTGAAAACATTTATGAATGATTATAGTCAAAACTTACTGTAATAATTGGAAAGAAAAATCTCCATATCATAATTGCTAAAACTCAATTCTATCATTTAAGATACTCAAAATATAAAATAAAACGGGAAACTGTAGAAGACAATAATGATCTTTACAAAAATATGCAAATAAGAAACAATTGCAGCTATTATGATAATGCAGATCATTGCCTATGCTTTTGATTTGTTTGTTTTTTAAATAATTATCTATAATTTAAAATTACGTCATTATTATATTTGACTTTAAACTAATAAGAAGCAACCAACAATTTTAATGTCGAGCGCTACGAATCCGAACATGTTAGATAATGACTCTCACACTAGCTGTTTGATAAAACAATTGCATATGGTTTGACATTGTTCGTCCCATGGCAATTATTTTCTGTAAGCTTTGTTGGTGAGGCATTTGTACATTACCTCTGTCATATGTTTTAGATGCTTCCACTGGGTATTAAAAAGCGAGACTATTTTTGTTTATCCCTTGCATGGGAATTGATACATGATTACATGTTAATAATAACATTATATGAAGTACTTCGAATGTTTATTTGTTTTGTATTAGATCTATGGTAACGTGTTGCATATAATAGGAAAATTAAAAGTAAGTACCATATATCAACGATGCAATTTTAAATGGAATTGAGCTAATGTAACAATCTATTTTGATATAGTTATAACTACTCTAGACTGACTTTTTCTAATGATTCAAGCTTGTTGAATTAGACATTCGTCTAACTAAGTTATTACGTGTTTTCGTTTTGTGAAGATACTTGTCTCATAAACTG